GCGGGGAAGAATGTGGCATCTCAGGAATGTGGTGGTCATGAGACAGTGAAAATATCTCCCCGTCCTTAACAACTCGCTCCAAATTTGAGAGAGGGGGAGGCGGCGAAGTAGTCAATATAATGTCCCATTTGTGCCAGAGGATGAATTGCCCCTTTACGTCTTCAAGTAACACTAGCCCCTCAGGAGTTGCATAGTCTATCCTCCGCTGCATGAACTCGAGCTTCATGGTATGCACCTCGACCCTAGTGTAGTCCGGCGGTATCTTATTATTATGGTGTAAGCCACCGGGAGGATGTGCCACACCCGTCGCCACCTCCATCACAATGTTCTGTCGGCCGCTGAGAAACACCAAGGTCCAACTAGTTGGTTCCCGTATGCAATCGACGGAGGTTGTGGCTGCAGTAGAACCTTGGCTGCTAGGAACTTTCGGAGGGCTACCAACTAATGCCAGTTCTCTTGGCGGCGTCATTAATGTGCGTGGCTCCGTAGACAATCCTTGCTCCTCCAGTGCCTTCGCAACTAGAGCCTTCACTTGGAGCTCAAGCTTAGCATCCCGGTCCATGCTATGTTTCTTGTACATGTGCATGTCCTCTTCGAATCCGTGCTTCCAGGTCGTCCTTTTTCCTAGCCCCCTGGTGAGGCCTGTGTGCTCGTTGTTTCCCAAGCCAAGGCTAAGCTCGTCCCTCTCTCTAGAAGGATTGAATGAGCCCTTCTCCTTGTCTTCAGCATATTTCAGTATCCTTGATACTGCCTCTTGGGTCTCCGGCTTATCAAACTTAAGATTACCGCCAGATGATTCTGTACTCCTGGCATATATCCAATTCCTTGAGCGTACCTTTAAATTTTTCACATCGATATTCCTAGCAGCTGCGGCCTCTTCGTCCATCTTCCTAAACTGCTCTTCTTGGCATAGTAGCCACCGGGGTCTTGATGATGGTGGTGTTTGTTCCTCTTCGCTAGCTTGGTGTTACGGGCACTGAGTTCCAATGCCTCTGGTGAAGTCTTGTGAGCCACGAGCTCCTCCCATTGACTAGGAGTTATGTTGCCAAACTCGTTGATAGGAGTTAACCCCTCTTGGATATACTTCTTGTTGAGCTCCGACCTCCAACGTCAGAATGACTCTCCCATGATCTTAAAAGCATTTTTTACCAGTTCGTGCTTATCCTCCGGAAATCTAAAATTGAGCTTCAGCTGCTTATCCCATAGTTCATCCTTTTTCTTCTCTGGTACCACTTTCCAGTTACGGATTGCTGGGTTCAATTTATCTCTTACTAGGGCCCCGATAGCATTACGGAATCATCCTATGAATTTCTTCGGCTCAAGGACCTCTCCTACTGGCCCGACCTCCGTTATCACATAACATGCCTTATCTGGATATTGATTTGCTTTTCTATCCCCTCGTTTCCTCTTTGGCTTGGTAGTCATGTTCGTGGTTGTGTCTTGAGGTTGTGGAGCAGAGGCCTCAATGTCCGTCTCTATGGCTGTTGCCTCTGCTCTCGTTTCCTCTACTCCGTCATGTCCGACGAGATGTCGCGGACGTTGTTTTTTCTGAGTTTCAGGAGGGACCTATATATACGACAGGTCAAAGTGTTAGCAAAGGTAACACAGCCAAAACTTTAGCAAAATTTACAAGCTAAGGCTTTATCCCTACCTCCTCGATCGAGTCAAAATCCTTGTCCAAATCTTCCTCCGTTGGCCTCCTTCTGGCTTCACGTGGGAAAGGATCCTCGGGACTTACACATCTCTCTTCTGAGTCCTCATCATCATCATCCTCTTCTTCTTCGCCTTCAGCATCCTCTCCTGCTCTTCCTTCTGCCCCTCCTTCCTCCTCATCACACTGCTCTTGAGTAAGCATCACTTCTAGATCCTTTTCTAACTTGTTATCGAACTGCTCCTGAGTAAGCTGGTCCTCTAGTGCTTGCTCCTCATAGGTTGCTGCTCATCATGCCCAGGGCATCGGGCTGCACTGTCTAGTGTCCACGACATTATTTCGCGCTTTGTTTTAATAGATGCAAGAAAGTATGCTTTAGGTACGCGAGAAGGTATAAGAAATCAAAAAGGTCTATAAACCAAAGTAGTCCTATAAAACAACAATATATCAAAAAAACGAGTACTAGCAGTAGTAGAGGCCTAAAAAACATGTCAATCATCATTTGATCATGAACTTGGAGCATCAGTGCATCATAACAGAGAAGAGAGGAGAAGGTAATATAGGGGCGGCTGCTAATGATGCCAAATTCCTCACAAGTTCTTGATAATCAGCTCATATTCCATATAATATATGAACTTGGACAATTTCATCATTGACAAAACAAAGGAGATGAGAGAAGAGGGGAGATTTGGCAAAAAAAAAAGCAATAGCTGCTTAGCAAACATAGAGCAGCAACTGATGGCAAAAATAGGCAAAAAAACAGTTGACAACTGCCATATGGTTGGAAGACCCCTGCAGATCCACCAAACAACAGCTGCTTAACAAACATATATATTCTCACTATTAACAAACATAGAGAGAAGAATAGTAGAGTACAAACATAATAAAACAAATTGAACTGCAACTTAAAAACTTAACCAAAACAATTAGAGTTAATTAAAATCTAAACTAATAACGGTAATGAACCTGAAACTAAGTCTAGATACTCTGAAACCTTAACTCTAACTGAAAAAACTTAACTAAAATAAAAGTAGAGTAAACTAAAAATTGAACTGATAAGTAACAGAAACTGAAACTAAAGTCTAGGTACTCTGAAACATGAACTCAATCTCAAAAAATTAAATCAAACAAAACTAGAATTAACTAAAAACTAAATTGATAACTATACTGAATCAGAAACTTAACTGAAAAATACTGAACTTGAACCTGAAACTAAACAAAAAAATGAAAGGCTTAGGAACTAAACAATGAAACATTTATTTGAACTGGTAATGGCTAAAAATATTAAAAGAAAAAAGGAATCTCAATAAGAAGAGTTACTGAAACTAGATATGTCAAACAACAGGCTGTCACCATTTTCACCTACCATCGGATGGTTTGCTGCCCATGTCAATTGATGGTTTGTTGTTCATGTAAATTCAGTATTATAGCTATAAGAAACTAAAGATGCAAATATGATAGTCAATTTGTGCGGACTAAATGAGAAATGAGGCACTAGCCTGAGAACTATTGGGATGAAACATCTACTCCTTACCATGACAAAATCTTCAAATTTATGTTTGATGTTCATGTTTCAATCAATCAAGAACAGATAGTAACTGCTTCACATTCAGCCAGAGGACTTGTTAACCCAGTCCCTGTTTCCCTTTCATCAAGCACAGGTGAGGTTAGACTACCTGATAACAATGTTTCATCATTTGTCTCTATTATCTTCAGGGACCAGTTACACATCCATACCCCCATACTGATGTGATTGATCAAGTGGTCTTAGCTGTCCACTGTCCAGTAACGATGCAAGCTGAGGGACTTAAATGATTCAATTGTCGATGTCCAGCACCAGCAGAGCACAATAGGCAAGGCACTGGTACTAAACAATCCCACCAATTTCTCTATGTAGGCACCGAAATCCTCAAGGACGATGCACCAAAATCTTCAAGGACAACTAATATGGTAGTATTCCTCAAAAAAACTTCTATGGTACTGACAATGTAATAAATTCCTCAATAGCAACCTTTCCAGTACCAAAAGGCCTCCTACAGTCCTACTGGGGTGGCGCTTCATGATATCTCAGTAACACCAAAGCAATAACAGGCATGGCAAAGGGCTTTATGATTTCTCAGTAACACTAATTGCCCAATAAAAAAAGGCTCGAGAAAAACTAATCAAGCAAAGGCAAAGGGCTTCATGATGTCTCAGTAACACTAACCTAGGGCTAGCAAAGGGCTTCATGATTGTTCAGTAATACTAAGCAAACACAGGGTTGGCAAAGGGCTTCATGATGTCTTAGTAACACTAAGCAAGCACAGGCTTGGCAAAGGGCTTCATGATCTGTCAGTAACATTAAGCAAACACAGGCTAGGCAAAAGGATATTATGATTTTTCGGGAACACTGGCAAAGGGCAAGATCGAAGCTGTGGGGGGTAAACACCTAGCACAGTGCACCAGTAGAGATTCAGGCAATATGCTGGCATTAAGCGTTCCGTGCCGCTTGCAATTGCTACAGTGACAAATCAATGACTGATTGTACATGCTGGGTTAGGCTGCTTGCAATTGCTGCCCTCGAGAACTAAAAACTAAACTGCAAACGATGTTTCAATCCTATAAAAAATCATGCTCTAGCTGCAGCACTATTTCTATCATGTACAAAAGAAATCCAAGCATAAATTAAATCCTTTGAAATGCAATTCCTCTCATGTATAAAACTTAGAAAAATCCAGCCACATCTTATCCAAACACATCCTGACATGCAAATGAATGTAACAAGGTCGACACAAAGGATTTGAGTTTCCAAATCCATCAAGCAACATTTAGCAATACAATCTCAGTGAATCTAATGTCATAATATTGGAAGAAAACCATATCAGAGCCCCACGAGCAAATTTGACAATGGTGCCCTTTTAGTTGGAAAACACTTATAGAAAGGGAAAATTTGATAACCGGACCAAATACAAAAGCAAAAGCAAGTTGGATCTGAATGAGCACTGAAATTACTCTACAATATAGGCAAAAAGCTATAGAATCTCAATCAAACGACCTGAACTAATTAGGATGTTTCTTGTCATCCCAATGAATGTCCTGTTTTGAATTTATCATCTCAAGAAACTAAAACATAAAAAAATGCCATTGCTCTATGGGGCTGTTTGGATGGCACCCTGGCCAAATTTGTCTGTGTTGGACCCCAGCCTGGAGGTTGCCTGGACTCTGTTTGGATGGAACCCTGGCTATCCTTGCCTGGTGGGAGCTGCCTGGACCGGTTGCCGGGCACCAGGCATAAGAAATCGAGCACCTGGGCTTCCCCCGAGTTGGCTGGCTGGCTGGCTGGCTGTAATCCAAAGCACAGAACCGATCAATGGAAGTAGCTTTCATTATTATATTTTTACAATTTTCCTTTTTGGAAGAATTAGTAGGTAACACGCTTGCCATCTAATAAATTTATTAAAGTAATAAGCTATCTTTTGCCACCTTCTTGGAGAAATTGTGTGATTGGCCACAATTAGCTATGTTTCCTTGCAATATTATAATTCCCATTGTCAATATAGTTTACTGAACCAGTAGCTTGTAAGACTTATTACTATTTAGCAACATGCCAACATATATGTACTTTTGCTTGCTGTTTTCCTGTACTATTGATTGCTGTTTTCGTCACTGCAATATATATGTCAGACCTGTAATGTTGCTTGCTGTTTTCTTCACTTGCATTTTTTCCTGTAGTTCACTCAATGGATACAGGAGAAAGCAGTATGAACGCTAAGGGCAAGGGAGGTGAAAAAGCTGCAGGATCAAATCCAAGGGCAAAAGCTACAAATTGGCCTGCAGTTATATCTGAATTTCTCCTTGATTGGTACATTGAGAAGAAGCTGGCGATGCCTCCAAAAAGTGTTTTCAAGAAGATGCATCACACAACTTGTACATCTGCCGTAAACTCCAAATATGGCACTACCTATACTATGGATCAAGTTCAGCGTCATTGGAGGTGGCATAAGGATACTAGTTGGGGACTTGTGGCTAAGCATATGAATGAGAGTGGCGGTGGCTGACACAAAAATGGTGACTCTCTCCAAGTCTACTTTGAGTGAACTCTCGATAATTATCTCGCCTAAATATTCATCTTACATGTATTATCTTAAATGATTCTTATTTTTTAATGCCGCCAAATGACCGTGGGATTCTCTCAAAACCAATTCAGTTCTTTGACAAGTTGCAAGAGTTATTAGGTGCTCCCAAACTTGATAGTCAGTAGCTGATGCTTATGGAGAAGTTTAAGACTCTTGGGATAGCATATTTGTTATTCTTTTGTGTATCAGCGAATTATTATGTAATCTTAAGTTGCAATATTTGTTAGCCTATAGCTTGAAAATTCTTGTGTGAGAGATTATGAATAGAGCTCATATGAGTTCATTACTTTTTCTGGAACATGAGTTCATGGTTTATTTGTTTCATAATGTGTTGTTCTCAACTGAAAATATAATAACTTATTATATATCAGATATTTGGTTTATTTATTCTCATGATGTGAAATCCTCCATATATCAACAATTACTTTATCAATGAAATGCTTCATATGAAAGTAATCTTGGCACTCGTACACAATGATGAGTGTAACCCAGGCAAGCTGAACAACCAAACGATGCCTGGCTTCTCTACCAGCCCAGGCTCGCTTCCAGGGCATCAACCAAACAACACAGCATGTTTTAGCTTTGCCTGGCCAGGCATTCTTGCAAATAAATACAGGCAACTCCCAGGCAGGTGAATAGCCCAGGGTTCTATCCAAACAAGCCCTATATCTGCTAGATGAAAATAATCCAGTTTTGCCTATAGAAATGTGAAATCCTATAACATGTTGTATAAATATGAAGGCTTATGCTAACATTATTGCCTCAAAGGCCTTCTGGAAGCAAAGATGGTTCATGACAAAATTACTTAAGCTATATTACCTCATGACAAAAAATTCAGAAACTAAGTATACATCAAGAACAATCACGAGAGAAAACAAATAACCAACAAGAAACTTCATGCATTGGATGCAAAAAAAGAAGCTATATTACCTACCTTGTGGGCTCGGGCGGGCAGGCAGCCTGGGTGGCTTCCTTGCCGCCGGCAGTGGGTTCTTGCCGATGAGAGGAGGAACAGGAGGAGATCTGGCCGGGCAAGAGGAAGAGCGGAGAGGGACAATCCACGGCGGCGTCGATCTCTGGGTAGCCATCGCCGGTGCCGCCCCCCGGTACCCCAAACCTTGCTCGGTGAGGCACAGTGAGACGACGAGCGCAGCGACGGTGGAGACGTCGTGCTGGCGTGCGCAACGGCGAGGGCGACGTTGAGGGCAAACACCGGAGCGCACGGCGGCGGAAACCCTAGCCGTCGGGGGGAACGGCGTCGCCCACTGCTAGGGTTCCGCAGCGGGTCCCAGCGGCGAACGGAGCCAAGGAAGACGGAGACAGGGAAGCTCAGGGGAGGACTGCCAGAGCGCACGGTGGCGGGCACGGTGAGAGGAAGCGCGCATGGTGGCGGGTGACGGCGGGTTTGACAGCCTGACAGCGTCTGAAAGGAAGAATCGTGCCGTGACTTAGAATATTTTCGGCCTCCCGCGGGCTCTGGCTTATATAATGGAGGGCATTTGTAGGGGCGGCTCCTGAGTTAGCCGCTCCTACAAATCGATTTTTAGGGGCGTTTCCTGAGTGAGCCGCCCCTACAAATATTTTTTAATTTATTTTAATTACTAATTCTATAATTCATTCATATATAAAGAACAATGTAAATTTATATATTAGTTTGTTTATTATTCTATTTATATATAAATATATGTATATACAAACAATTTTATTATATATATAGACATAATTTTATATTTTCTTCTTTACAAAAATTAATATTTTAAAAATTTAAAATTTGAATTTCAAAACAACTAATAGAATTTTAGGATACTAAATGACCTTAAATGAAAATTTTGTACACATCAAAGTTGTAGAACTCATCAAGATGTACAACTTATATTTTGGTCATCTTTTCATTTGACAAAATTTGAAAAGTTTAAATTTTGAATTTCAATAAATGGCAACTTCAAATAAGATTTTGAAACCTTAAATGATTTCAAATAAGAAAGTTGTTGAACACATTACTATCTACAACTTTTATTTTGATCATCTTTTCATTTAACTAAATTTGAACAGTTCAAATTTTGAATTTTAATAAAAGGCAACTTCAAACAAGATTTTGAAATCTTAAATGATTTCAACTAGAAAAGTCATGAATATAAAAGTTGTTGAACTCATTACTATCTATAACTTTTATTTTGATCATTTCTTCATTTAACAAAGTGTTAATAAACATTGTTCATAAATCCACATATCACTCATAGTTTCATAAACTATACGAGAGAAGTTGATTTGTGAACAATGTTTGTTATCACTTTGTCAGATAAAGAAATGACCAAAATAAAAATTTTAGATCTTGATGAGTTACACAACTTTGGTATTCATCACTTTTTCAGCTAAAATCATTTGGTGTTTCAAAATCTTGTTAGAACTTGTAATTTTTTTAAATTTGAAAATTTAAATTGCTCAAACTTTGTCGAACGAAAAGAATGATCAAATCAACACAGTAACTTGATAGGGCATGATTTTAGAAAAATTTAGGAAAAAAATCATCATATTTGGAGTTAGTATGACGGGGAAAGACTAGTTACAAATTTTACCTAGAGATTAAAAAGAAAAATCACAACTGTTTATGGCCATGTTCGACTTACCCCATATTTAGCTTGTTCGGCTTCTTTTTTCAGTAGGAACAGTATTTTTCTCTCACAACAATTCAGCCGGAACAGTATTTTTCAGCCAGTTTCAGTCAAGTTTCAGATCAGCGAACGGGACCATGATGATCAATGATGAACAAGTGTGATTTCTCTTTTTAATCTGTGGCTGAAAATTGTCACTAGTTTTTCTCCCTCATACTAACTCCAAATGTGATGGTTTTTTTCCTAAATTTTTTTAAAATCATGCTCTATCATTTTAGTCTGCTCATATATCTTTGTCACTAATTTTGGACAATTCAAATTTTGAATTTCAGAAAATGACAACTTCAAACCTTATTTTTAACCACTAAATGATTTTAGCTGTAAATGTGATGAATATAAAAGTTGTATAACTCATCAAGATCTTCAACTTTTATTTTGGTCATTTCTTTATTTCATAAAGTGTTACGTGATTTCATAAAGTTTTAGTAGTAATAGGGTGGATGTTGAAATAGATTCATCTAGATGTTGCAAATGGTAGTCTCACACACATGCATAAATATAGTCTTACACACGTACATAAATATATAATCTCGCACACATATATAAATATATAGTCTCACACGCATGCATAAATAAAGTCTTACAAACACACACACTTACACAAACACTCACGTTCAACAACTAGCTAGCCCGCTGTAACGACTTTTCTCTTGATATCTTTTTGTTCCCATGACAATATGTCTTTGGGTAGGTTCTTTTCCACAACACTGATCTTCTTAGGAAAGTCTGTGAATAGCGGCATCTCATCGTAGTTATTGTAAGCTTTAACATCGTCCATGCCATCAACTCTGATAATGTGCTGTTTCCCAGAGGCAACCACGTGCTTTGTCATCTTCTTCGGGGGAAGGTTACTTTGTGGGTCAGGCATATAGAAAACTTGTGCGACACGTGAAACAAGCACCCAAGGGTCATCTTGGTAGCCTAGATTCTCGAGGTCCAGGACTCTTAATCCGATCTTGTTCAGTTGGTATTGTTTGATTCAGCGGCATCAAAACAGGGCCAGCGTTATATCCCTTCCATAGTAAAGTTCCCATATCTCTTCAATGATGCCAAAGTATAGGATCTTTTCCCACACTCCATCGACAACTTCTATTCGAACGCCGCTGTTTTGGTTCACATATTTACTATCCTTTGTGTGGATATAGTACGTATACCCATTGATGTCATAAGTTTTCCAAGATGTCACTTATCTCAATAGCCCCTCTGCCAACCTACTGATTGTAATAGAGTCTATGCTTTCTCCAGGTGGTATGTTTTGGTCCTTCAACCATGTAGTTACTCGTTGCTTGTGTTGTTTCATGACCCAATCATCTGAACTACTATTTCTCTCTGCCATAATGATAGCCAAGTGTTCATCAATGTACGGTTGCATCAGTTGTGTACTCTGCAAGACACTACAATGCGTCGGACTCACCTCTATGTAATCATGGTCGATGAACACTTTTCTACCACTGGTGCCCTTCCCAGCCAGCCTACCCTTGTGACGAGAATCGAGTTTACCAATCTCTTTCTGTACTTTTAGATACTCTTGACAGCACTCGATGACTTCTTCAGTACTATAACCCTCTATCATGGAGCCCTATGGGTATGCTCGGTTATGCACGTATCGACTTAGAACTGACATGAACCGCTCGTAGGACCACATTTCATGCAAGTAGCAAGGACCCAGCGCCTGTATCTGACGAACCATGTGAATCATGAGATGTGGCATTATATGAAAAAAAGTAGGAGGTGAACACATCTTTAGTTGGTTTTGTCTCCACCACAAATTCATGTAGGTCACTCAGCTCTTGCTTGCCAATCGTCTTCTGTGAGATCTTCGAAAAGAAGTAGCACATGCGGGTGGTGGCCATTTTCAAGAACTCTGGCTTTATAGTCCTGATTGCAATAGGTAGAAACACTGTCAACATCACATGACAATCATGAGCCTTGCAGTGTGTTATTGACAAGTCCTTCATCGACACTAGCTTCTTCACATTCATTGAAAACCCAGTCGGGACTTTGACCCCCTTCAGGAAAGTGCATATAGCTCTCTTCTCTTCTGGTGTTAGGTTGAAGCACACCGTGGGCAGAGTATATTTCCATTAGCCTCAGGTACCAGGTGAAGCTATGGCATCACGTTTAGCTGCACCATGTCTTCCCATGATTTTAGACCATCCTTTAACTTGCCTGTGTTCATCAAGGTAGCAATGAGACTCTCAAAGACATTCTTCTGCACGTGCATAGCATCAATGGCATGGGGGACCTCCA